AATTCAACCAACACAGTTTCAGAGGCTTCCAATTCCTGTGGAGTTCCCCTACGGAGTGCATTTGTTGCACCACCATCCAAGAGACCAGTCGGCCCATCAGAGGGCATAACCCGTTTCACCTTCACCGCTTTACTGCACGGTTTCAACGTTTTCAACAAGGTGGAAGCATCAGTGATGATCCCCGACACATTTTCAGGGTTCCCACCATTCTCACTCCCATCCGTACGTTTTGACGTTTCACATCCAAGAGACACATCTGCCGTTGAGGCAGCATTTGAGGTTTTTTCAGGGCTTTCATGGACACCAGAACCCTTTCCCTTTTCGGGGGTCCCCTTACCCTCACTTTTGGTGGTTTTGGCAACCTTTTTTGGGGTATCGTTTTTAAGGTTCCAATTCCTTTTTTTCACTGGGCAGTCAGTCCGTGAATGTCCAACACCCGAACAATTGAAACATCTACCACTTTTGGGATCCAACTGAGCATGATGAAACTTGCATGAATCACCCCTCGTGCACCCTCTTTCGGTCATCCAATACTTACATGGATATTTTTTCTGAGTTTGGGGTTTCCCATCATCCCCATTTTGTGGCAACCCTGGAGGCCTATCCACACCCAATGCAGCAGCTTTCACAGATGTCCCCGTTTTCCCCCCAACACCAAGCAACAGGTCCTCAGCTTCAGCTTGAAGATGCTCGGATCGGAGTAGCGAAGAATCACGGCAGTGTGCGGCTGGCGGTCAAGGTTGAGCTGCTGGCGCACCGAATTCAATCTGTAGGCAACTTGCGGAGATTTCTGGCTAAGGCAGTCGGAGCATTTGGAAAGGGCACCTAACAGCACAATACCATCAGGGAGAACAACATTCAGTTCTACAGCCCTTTGAACATTCCGTCTCCATTGACGCAGCCATTCCAGAATCTCATTCACACTGTTACCACATTTTCCATCAGTCAACATGTGCAATAATTTGGTACGTTCAGCAGACCCTCCAGGTTGAAACAACACTGACAACCGAAAGAGCAATTGATCAACAGTCAGTTTTCGGCTAGCAATCATTTCATCCCTCACATTTTCAGGAATTGCAGCCAACAGCATGGAAAGTGCACGACGCTCTGTTCTTGGAAACGTTCCCATTTCAGGAGTGGCTTGAGGTTTCAAATTCAACCTTTCAAGAGGTCCAGAAATCAACCATGTTTGATAACACTGATCCGACACACCACGGACCATTTTCCACCAAGTTTCACTGGTGTACGACAAGTCGCCCATCATCGTGTCAACCACGCTGAGCCAATCACCATATTGAACCGCAGTTGCATCACCTGACAACTTCGGCAAATCCACAGTCCTCAGATTTTCCGAGGGATTTTCACCACAAACGCCTGAGCTTGGGCCGAAGCCTACGATCGAAGGCGGAAATGGTGGCAACACAGGAGGTGGGGGGCAAACATTCCCTACAATATTCCCACATCCCACAACAGACACTTTCGGAGGCGAAGGTGGTGGTGGACCCGGTGGAGGCCTAGGGATAAACAGTTCAACCAAAGGCTCTGGCACCGAAACAAAGGAACTTTGTGACCCTTGCAGGGATAGTTCATTTTTCATGCCATCCTCTTTTCCACCAACAACTCCCAAACCCTCACAACACTCATCAAAAACCATCTTTTGTCCTACTTCCCTTTTCAGTTCGGACTTCAAAGACAGCACACCTTGCCGAAACTTTTCCTCGGCTTCACGCAAACACCTAAGCCTAAAGAGCTCAACAGGATCCATTTCAACATACCCTTTTTGTGGTGTGGTGGTGTTTGACACTGACTGCAGTGGCTCCTGAATCCCAGCGCTAAATCCAAGTTGCGAAGCATCCTGAAACCCAGCACTAAAACCAAGTCGCATAAGGTCCTGACCTTCATAGCCAGACCCATAAGCTTCTCGAAGAGCTTCACGTTTGCAGTCAGGACTCCAAAACGGGTTCACTGGGCTTTGGACCCCCAAACCACTAGGCATTGATCCCTCTACCCCTTGGCCATGAACAACATGTTTTTCACTACCATGTTGCACCACATTTTTTGAGATTTCATTTTTCCCCACAACATCACCGGTGACCCACATTTGAGGAGGGTTTTCACCAACAACATTCCTGTCCAACCCACTTGGCTGGCCAGGCTCATTTTTCGCCTGCCGACCCCTTGAACCCTGGGTAACTTGTTGGGTCCCACCGTTTCCCTTTCCCGTGGCAACATGGCCTCCTTGACCTTTACCGTTACCATCTAGGGGGGAACCAGAGGCATTCCCATCAGCACCATCACTTCTACGGGCATCAGAACTCGGTTCAGACACAACAACACGTTTCACTTCAGGATTTTCTCCTTTTACCTCGAGGTTCTTTTCGCCTTTAGTAGTTTCACCTCTAACTGGCTCAAGAAAATCACCCGGAGAGAAGGACATCGGTGGACCTATGGGTTGCAAACCAGCTAACAAGTCACCCCCAGAAACACCAGGCACCATCCCAGTATTCCCAGGCACATCGGACAAAGCTGTTGCCCCAGAAGTCCCAGTCGCTGCCACGTCGTCCACCAACCGCTGCAACTGCGCATCAGCCGCTTCATCAGCCAGCGCTTGAGCTGCACGCCGCTGCAAGGACGAATCTCGCCGTCGGCTCAACTCCATGCCAGGTAGAGTCACTTTGGGCTCATAACCCGTGGTTTCACACAGGTGCAACTTCTCAGCTGCTGACGCGCTCTATCTTTTCAAGAGCTTGCATCTTGAGCCATTTGTTCAATGGCGTGTCATCTTTGTGCAGGTGGTCATGCCATGTTGCATGCCATCCAACTTTTGAACCTTATGGTCCTTTGACCACATGTAACTGCAAATGGAGTTATGGCTCGATCGGGTGAACCACAAAAAGAATTGAATGAACCGAGAGTGCTGACCGGGTCACTACAAAATATTGACGTCGTAGTTGTGCCGTCGGCCTATCGTCATCGTACCATCTGCAGTTTGCCCTTGTGCTGTGCGCTTATCATCGTCAGGTCCTCCGCATGTTGTCGTCATTACGTCATCGTCGTGATATCGTCCCTCCCTTGTCAAAGGGCCCGAACCATTGTCAGAACCCCCCAATCAGAGGAGTTCCTGCTTTCACTAAAAAAAGACCTTGTTTGATCTTGTTTGCGAGTATTTACAATTTTGCAAGTTTGTAAGGAATGCTTACTAGCAGTGCAGAGCCACGTTACGGGCGAATGTTCCAGTCAACACGATCTGTGGAAGCGCTACCTACAAAAGTGTGTTGCGCAAACGCTTTCTACAAAACATGCCTTGAAAATTTGGCCTGCAAGAGAATGTTGGCGGAACGTTTTTTACGACTGTCTTGCCTGCCAGAGTCTTGTGGTATAACGGTGTTGCAAAAGTATGTTGGAGATTGTGTTTTAGAATGGTTTGGAGGAAGGGTGCTTTATGAAAATGAAGATGCAAGAGCTGTTATAAGTTGTGATCTAAAGGGTGATGTGCCTGAATATTCCACACAATCCTCACACAGGAGTCTCCTACTAACCTGTTCTCAAAGGGTGTTCGTTCGGAATAATTTCAGGCATTGTCAAGTTGCATTCTACTGGCAGAAGAGTCTTTATTGCAAAGTTCAAGAGTCTGCTACATGAGTGTTGTATAGTGTTGTAGTTTTATAACTTATATAACCATGTCACCATGTCGTGGGAAATCCACTGGGGGCCCGCGGATTTGGGCTTGTGGTTTCAATTTGTTTCTGGTGGACGTATGTTCAGATCCTGAAGATTCCAACACAATTAAACCTGCCGGTGACGATTTTGCATCGGCTGCCATTTTCCAAAACACCAAGGATGGCAATGAGGTTTCGGCCGCGTTGGAAACTGGCCATCTTCGTTGCGGCAAGGAATCAACGAAAACTCTGCGGTGCGAGCGAAAACGGTTGCATGAAAAAGTGTCACAGAACGGCCAGAACTTGCTGGTTGTAAACGTGATGTTAATTCGTAAATCTAGATACATTACAAGTAGGTATCATTAGGTAATTCCGTTGATGTTAATTGCAGTTTGTACTCCTGCCAGGATGACCACGTGGATCATGCAGGGTCCAACTAAGATAACAAAGTGTTGCGAGAGTCGGGTCTGTGTTTTGGCAGTTTTGGGCGCCATAGATGACAAGTTTCGCGTGCTTCTACAGTGGCCTTGCTGCTTCTACGATTCTACGCCTCCTTTGTGCAGGAGCAGTAGAGGTTTACCTGATGGAGTCTTGGCTGTTCTACCTGGTTTTGCGGTGATCCTCATTGGTCCCAAGGGCACACAAGAGCCCCAAGAGCTGGTGATGAAAACGCAAATGCTGAGGAAATAATAATTGCCAAATGTACCGTCTTTGCAAATGTTTGAGGGAACACAATTTTCATGCCCGTTATATGGATTTTAACAGCATTTTGAAGTTGGATGTTCACGCTTTGCACCGGGTTTCATGGAAGAGTGCTGTAACTGAAAGCTTGCGCATTGTCTAATTGAACGATTTTAGGTTTACACTTCTTGCGCCAGCCGCTTCACAAGTGACAACCTAGTCCTCTCTCACACCCTTGGGTCAGTCGTGCCTTGCTTCAATGGCATGGCCCTGTCCTTTCGAAAAATGACTTGACATGATGCACCAACTTTATTGGAACAAATAGGATGTAAATAGGATCTTCTAGATTCCAGGTGAAAGAAAGTTACATTGCTGCGTGTCTGGAAGTGCTGGAACTCTGTCCGTTGGAAGGTCGGGTATGTTTCAGCCTGCGAAGCTTGGTGTGCGAGTTTAAGTTCGACAGTTCTTCCACGCGGAATACTTCAGTTTCTTTTAAAGGTAGGGCCGCATTACGGGTGCATTACGGTAAAAGGAATCTCGGCCATCGTCCTGTCCTTCAGAATGCTGCCGACCGATCTTGCGCTTTTGACCATGGAACAATAGAATGAGCCTTGGGCAGCCTTGTTCCGAATTTCTTCAAAATCTCTCAATGTTCTGCCTTCAAATTGCGAGGTTGACATGGTGGAGTCTTGAGAGTCGCTTCCAAGGACAGCTCGGACAGCAATGCATAATTTGTCAGCAATCTTTGTGCTTTGTTCGGCACTGCGCAAAGCAGTCTGGCCATTTTGGAGAGACACACTCGAAATGGCCAGCTCCCACTTGGGAACGCGCAGAAAGTATGTACACATAATATACGGATGGGTACGGTGAGAATCATGATATCATCATCATCATCATTGATCACAGGTTTCGTACCTGTGACAGCACTGGGCAATTGGCAATCATTCGTGGGTCGTGGGTCAAAAAAATCACAGAATCTCGGCACCTCCAGAATCTCGGCGCCAACCACCACACTACCATCTTCGTTAAGTACCTGGTACCGCTGCAGTATGCCACCAAGTCATGAACTACGGGGATTGATGCTGCCGAGATGCATCTCCAAGGAGGCAAAGGTCATGCCTGGTTAAGTCCAGACTCTTTTGGTTCGTAATTCATGATTCAATATGATTCAATCTTAAAATGATCTAAAATGATCTACTTGACTATTTCATTCATTAGGGGTCACTATGTTCGTTGTGGAAACTCATACAGATTCGATCCCTTTGTATTCCCATTATATCCAAAAAAAAACACCATTCTTGAGGATTAAATCCTATTAAATCATATTAAATCCCCATGTTTGGATAAGTCACATGGACCACATGATGTCCTAAGTCATTCCGCACTGGACCACATGGACCAGGCCCGGACCTTCCTTGATCGCGGCCACCTCTAGCAGTGTTGGCCTCGGGACCCCGATCGCTTGTTGTGGGGACTTGATGTGGGGGAATGGTGTGTTATAAGATGTTACCCTCTGGTAAACTAACATAGCTATTGAAAGATCCACCATTTCTAATGGATAAATCAACTATAAATGGTGATTTTCAATAGCTATGTTAAATTACCAGAGGGTATAAGGTGTTGCTTTTTCCTGCCATTTCCCACTTGACTCACTTGACCTTCAAGTCCGATGTTGAAGTTGCTGCATCGCATCCTGCTCCTCCAAACATCTTTCATCCCGCGGCGGGCCTCCAGAACTGGTGAATATTTGGTGCCGGCAAAGAGCCGGAACCTCAAGGCAATTCATGCCCAGTAAGACATCACATGCACAGAATCTGACACCAAAGTTTTAGTCATTCCAGAAAACCAAAAGCGACGGCAAGTTTGTACAACTCAGCTTTTGCACCGAACGTTCACATTCGGCACGGTACACATCAGGTAGAGGCCTTGAGGGTGACAGCGCGTCGTCTACAGTACATCCAACGAACACTCCAGGTTCAGGCTCCGACTACAAGAGCCTTCAGTCTGGCGCAGGGGGCTGCCATCAGGGAAGAACTTCAAGCGACAAAAGATGCCTGCTACCTCGAGACCAGCTGAGTTGCACCGTTTTTGTTATTTTTGTTGAGATCTCTCCAACAAGAGTCCAAAATGACTCACGAAGTATGCTGTACTTGAGAAGCCTCCAGTTCCCCCGTGATCAGCACTCCGTTGTTTCCAGGAGCTTGTCTACCTGCCTCGAAACACAGCACAGTAGTCACAAGACGCGTTGTTGTTCAACTGTGGCTCACCCATGTGCAAGGCACCAGACTCACCTGAAGTGCCTTCGCAGTTAAGGCCCACTCCAACTGCACAAGTTTGCTTCAAAAGAAAACTGTCATCAAGCTTCCACAAGGGCATATGGGCCTAGATAAAACATAATAACCATGTATAACCAACCTTTCATGGGAATTTTAAAGACAGCCACAGGGTTTGCATGCAGCCTTCGGTCCTATCACCACAGGGAAGCCAGGTGTAGTGATGGAGCTGCCAGAACCTTGGCCCAAACAAAGAAATTGGGAGTTTTAGGGGTCTCAAAATCTTTCAAAACCCTATTCCATCAATTTCCATCAGATGGGTTGATTTTCCCAGAAATCAATCTTAGTCAATCTTTATATCACCATTCTTCCCATGTGTTTCCTTTTTTATCTTTTTTGGAAGGATATCCCGCTGGGTCTGTCCCACCTCTTCCAGGTCCACGAGGAGTGATCGATCTGGAAGTGCTTTGCTCCTTCGAAGATGTCGGTCTGTGCAACATGATGAAGATTTCAACAAGTGACTGGTTGGTGGTATAAAATGCTTCTAACATTTTGTTTCGCATGGTTGTAGTACATTGTAGTATGTTGAAATGGTTAAGCCACCTTGAAAATATTGTCAACTCGGAATCATCATCCCAAATAGCATGTGAAACCACCAACCAGGTCACCCCAGGATTCCCCAGGTCTGGTCTTGCTGGAGCTCTCAGACCCTTGGTTTTGCAGAGTCCAGCCCACCTGCTGTAGCACTTGGCCATCGATGCTCCTTCGATTCTCTTCGCTCCTCTTGCGCTGGGTCCCTGGCACATCAGCCACAGTGGATTGAATGGTCCAAATGGATTCGACATGATGATCCTATATTGATTGATATGATATTGAATGATATCAATCAATATCAATATCCATATCAATATATGTATATTATATATATAATAATATATATATATATATATACAGTATATAATTTATATAATATGCATACAGATACAGAGATAGATAACATATGATAATATCCGCCGACCCCGGCAGACGCAAGGGGGAGTGCGTAAGGGAAAAAGAGTTTATGACACAGCTGCCAGGAAAGAATAATAATAATTCGCTGACCCCGGCCGATGCAAGGGGGAGCGCGTAAGGGAAGAAGAGGTGCTGCACTGCTACTTTTACTACCAGGGAGCAGCAGGCAGCAGCAGGCAGCAGCAGGCAGCAAGAACAACAACAACAAGAACAACAAGAACAACAACAACAACAACAACAACAACAACAACAAGAACAACAACAACAAGAACAACAAGAACAAGAACAACAACAACAACAACGACAACAACAACAACAAGAACAACAACAACAACAAGAACAAGAACAACAACAACAACAACAACAACAACAACAACAACAAGAATAAGAACAAGAATAAGAACAAGAACAACAACAACAAGAACAAGAACAAGAACAAAAACCAGAACAAGAACAACAACAACAACAACAAGAACAACAGCAACAACAACAAGAAGAAGAATAAGAACAACAACAACAACAACAACAACAACAACAACAACAACAACAACAACAACAACCACAAAGACAAAGATAAACCCAAACAACAACAAACAACAATAACAAACAACACCAAACAACAACAAATAACAAGAAACAACAAGAAACAACAACCAACAACAACAAGAAACAACAACCAACAACAACAAACCATGACCCTTTGCCGGGGGACTCTGTTGGGTCCCCCTCCCACCGGTCACGTACCTCGATTCCCTGACTCCGGGGTTTTTGTTTCACCGGTGGGGGGTCCTTCCCGGAGTCTCCTCGAAGTACGTGGGGCTCCTCGGGTTGCCCTTCCCGCCTGCCCTTTTTTTGGGTTCATGGTTGGTGGCTTCTTCGTCCTTCACTGCCATGGTGTTTCAGGCTGGCGGGTCTGCCGTGCACGCGAAAACGTGTCCCACAGTGTTGTCCCGGTGCTTCAACTTGACCTGTTGCAACATGGCTGGTCACTTGCCGCTGGCAATATGGACACTGGTATGCATACAACTGTTGCATTGGGCTATTACTTTTCTGTTGCTGTGGCACTTCGGCTTTTGTTGTGACATCCTCGGCTGGGGCGACGTGATGCTGTGCACTAGTCACAGGTGGATGATGTTTTTGTCGGTGCAACGCGATTGCTTCCCAGGTGGCCCGCAAAATCTGAGTTTGACGCAGCCTTTTGCGGAGCGGTTCGAGCCGCAACGTGCTGGATATGGCAGCACGCTTGCGCACAGCAGCCTGTGTCAGCACCGTGCAACAGGCATTGCATGTCTGAGTGCCATTTTGACTGGAAGGGCGCTGTGAGGAAAAGGAGCGTCTTCAGCAGCAGGAGAAAAAGTAGCTAAAATCATCATTTTCTAATTTTCTATGGGTTTCAGAAGTTACGTTAGACATTTTTGCGGTGCAATTTCGGAACCTTTCCGTCCTTCATTCCCATAGGGATTTGCCGCTGGGAGTGGTTCGCTTTTAGGCGTCGCAGCTAGCCACCAGCAGCAGCAGCAGCAGCAGTAGCAGCAGCAGCAGCAGCAGTAGGAGCGTCTTCAGCAGCAGGAGAAAAAAGTAGCTAAAATCATCATTGTCTATGGGTTTCAGAAGTTACGTTAGACATTTTTGCGGTGCAATTTCGGAACCTTTCCATCCTTCACTGCCATGGGGATTTGCCGCTGGGAGTGGTTTGTCTGGCATAAAAAACATTGCTTTTTTGCATCACACGACAGACAAACGCGATACATGCTCCACCGCGGGTTCTGTTTTGCTGCCGGGAGCTGCTTTTTTCGAAGCTGTTTGACCGGCATCAGCAGCAGCAGCCGCCGCCACCAGTCCTGCGAGCAGCCGCAGGCGACAGAATCTCTCGACAATCTCTCTCTCGACAATCGACAAATGCTTTTTTTCTACGATTTCAGACGACACGTTAGGGAGTTTTTTCGCGTGGTTTTGGACCTTGCTCGTCCTTCAGAGCCATGGTGTTTTGCTGCCGGGAGCTGCTTTTTTCGAAGCTGTTTTACCGGCATCAGCAGCAGCAGCCATGGTGTTTTGCTGCCGGGAGCTGCTTTTTTCGAAGCTGTTTTACCGGCATCAGCAGCAGCAGCCGCAGGCAACAGAATCTCTCGACAAATGCTGTTTTTCTAGATTTTCTAGATTTTTCTAGATTTCCAGACGACACGTTAGGGAGTTTTTTCGCGTGGTTTTGGACCTTGCTCGTCCTTCCGAGCCATGGTGTTTTGCTGCCGGGAGCTGCTTTTTTCGAAGCTGTTTTACCGGCATCAGCAGCAGCAGCCGCCGCCACCAGTTCTGCGAGCAGCCGCAGGCAACAGAATCTGTCGACAAATGCTGTTTTTCTAGATTTCCAGACAACACGTTAGGGAGTTTTTTGGCGTGGTTCTGGACCTTGCTCGTCCTTCAGAGCCATGGTGTTTTGCTGCCGGGAGCTGCTTTTTTCGAAGCTGGTTTACTGGCATCAGCAGCAGCAGCCGCCGCCACCAGTCGTGCGAGCAGCCGTAGGCGACAGAATCTCTCGACAATCGACAAATGCTGTTTTTCTATGCTGTTTCTATGCTGTTTTTTTGCTGTTTTTCTAGCACATTTTTTCTAGCATTTCAGACGACACGTTTGGGGGGTTTTTTGGCGTGGTTCTGGAACTTGCTCGTCCTTCGGAGCCATGGTGTTTTGCTGCCGGGAGCTGCTTTTTTCGAAGCTATTGTACCGGCATCAGCAGCAGCAGCCGCCACCTGCGAGCAGCTGCAGGCGACAGACTCTCTCGAAAAAAGCTGTTTTTCCAGGATTTCAGACGACACGTTAGGCAGTTTTTTAGCGTGGTTCTAAAACTTGCTCGTCCTTTAGAGCCATGGTTTTTTGCTGCCGGGAGCTGCCGGCAGGTGCTTTTTTCGAAGCTATTTTCCTGCGAGTAGCTGCAGGCAACAGAATCTCTCGACAAATGCTGTTTTTCTATAGAATTTTCTATAGAATTTCAGACGACCGGTTAGGGAGTTTTTTGGCGTGGTTCTGGAACTTGCTCGTCTTTCAGAGCCATAGTGTTTTGTTGCCGGGAACTGCTTTTTTCGAAGCTGGTTGACCGGCATCCGCAGCAGCAGCAGCCGCCACCAGTCCTGCGAGCAGCTGCAGGCGACAGAATCTCTCGAACAAGGCTGTTTGTCTAGAATTTTTGGCGTGGTTTTGGAACTAGCTCGTCATTCAGAGCCATAGTGTTTTGTTGCCGAGAGGTACTTTTTTCGAAGCTGTTTTGACAAACGCGATACATGCTCCACCGCGGGTTCTGTTTTGCTGCCGGGAGCTGCTTTTTTCGAAGCTGTTTGACCGGCATCAGCAGCAGCAGCAGCCGCCGCCACCAGTCCTGCGAGCAGCCGCAGGCGACAGAATCTCTCGACAATCTCTCTCTCGACAATCTCTCTCGACAATCGACAAATGCTTTTTTTCTAGGATTTCAGACGACACGTTAGGGAGTTTTTTGGCGTGGTCCTGGACCTTGCTCGTCCTTCAGAGCCATGGTGTTTTGCTGCCGGGAGCTGCTTTTTTCGAAGCTGTTTTACCGGCATCAGCAGCAGCAGCCGCCGCCACCAGTTCTGCGAGCAGCTGCAGGCAACAGAATCTGTCGACAAATGCTGTTTTTCTAGATTTCCAGACGACACGTTAGGGAGTTTTTTCGCGTGGTTTTGGACCTTGCTCGTCCTTCCGAGCCATGGTGTTTTGCTGCCGGGAGTTGCTTTTTTCGAAGCTGTTTTACCGGCATCAGCAGCAGCAGCCGCCGCCACCAGTTCTGCGAGCAGCCGCAGGCAACAGAATCGTTCGACCTTGCTCGTCCTTCAGAGCCATGGTGTTTTGCTGCCGGGGGCTGCTTTTTTCGAAGCTGTTTTACCGGCATCAGCAGCAGCAGCCGCAGGCAACAGAATCTCTCGACAAATGCTGTTTTTCTAGATTTTCCAGATTTTTCTAGATTTCCAGACGACACGTTAGGGAGTTTTTTCGCGTGGTTTTGGACCTTGCTCGTCCTTCCGAGCCATGGTGTTTTGCTGCCGGGAGCTGCTTTTTTTTCCTGCGAGTAGCTGCAGGCAACAGAATCTCTCGACAAATGCTGTTTTTCTATAGAATTTTCTATAGAATTTCAGACGACCGGTTAGGGAGTTTTTTGGCGTGGTTCTGGAACTTGCTCGTCTTTCAGAGCCATAGTGTTTTGTTGCGGGGAACTGCTTTTTTCGAAGCTGGTTGACCGGCATCCGCAGCAGCAGCAGCCGCCACCAGTCCTGCGAGCAGCTGCAGGCGACAGAATCTCTCGAACAAGGCTGTTTGTCTAGAATTTTTGGCGTGGTTTTGGAACTAGCTCGTCATTCAGAGCCATAGTTCAGCAGCAGCAGCCGCCGCCACCAGTCCTGCGAGCAGCCGCAGGCGACAGAATCTCTCGACAATCTCTCTCTCGACAATCTCTCTCGACAATCGACAAATGCTTTTTTTCTAGGATTTCAGACGACACGTTAGGGAGTTTTTTCGCGTGGTTTTGGACCTTGCTCGTCCTTCAGAGCCATGGTGTTTTGCTGCCGGGAGCTGCTTTTTTCGAAGCTGTTTTACCGGCATCAGCAGCAGCAGCCGCCGCCACCAGTTCTGCGAGCAGCCGCAGGCAACAGAATCTGTCGACAAATGCTGTTTTTCTAGATTTCCAGACGCCACGTTAGGGAGTTTTTTCGCGTGGTTTTGGACCTTGCTCGTCCTTCCGAGCCATGGTGTTTTGCTGCCGGGAGCTGCTTTTTTCGAAGCT